TTTCAAAATCAAAAGTTATCAAAACAAATTCTATGGGACTGAGAAGTATTATTTTCTACTTTTTAGTCCATTTATAAAAGCGTTGTATATTAAAAAGTTTTTTTTATATTATTTATTTTTTTTTATTGGAAAACGCAATAATATTAATAAATAACATTGGCCTCCATTTTAGAAAGGGTGAACGGGGTGGTCTTTGTATCCGGTTTCATACCAGTTGATTGAGGGAGTAGTCTATTTAGTACCAAATGTTGCAAGTTCACCAAAGAGGCTAAACATTAGACCGTAGTAGAAAAAAAAGTTGGACGTACATCCACTATTTTGGTAAGGCAATTTGGACAAAAAAATTAAAAATTTGGGCCGAACGTAGAGATCGCATTTTTTAAATTTTCATCATATCTTCAGCATATTCAGTCAAATCTTAAAGTTGATATATATCAATGTTTCGAGGACAAAATTGTTTTGTTCATTCTAGTACTTACCCACCAGATGTCATTTCATTCCATCCTAACGCAACACCCTAACGTACTAACCCAATGTCAGTAAATGTAAGCACTCCAAAAGTCATTAAACTTTTGCTAAGAAAGCAATGTGCGGCGGTTATTTTTTGTCTGCTTCTAAGTTGCTAGGGTATACTACACATGTTTAATTTTGTCTATTTAACTGTTCCTACTTTTCTTTGTTTCTATAATATAAGCCTAACATAATCATTTTTAGGCACGCCTTGAAAAAATACACACGATGCTAGAGAATAACGTCGCAATGTACCGTCTACAATATCGACATAAACTACGAGATCATTTGGGCGATCGCACTTACATACGTTTACTTGGAAAAGATGATTATAGCGAGTACTTAATCGACGATGATAAAGGGGGAGAATGTATCGAAATGCACCCATGTAAAAAATCAGCTTCTACTGCAACGTTGAAACGTTTTCAAGATGAAAGTGCAAACATATCAATGCATTCGAATGAATTTAAATCGCTTTACAACGCAGTAAAGTTGTATCCTAAAAATCATCGCCCATCATTTGGCCAAACCGAACATGAATTCAATAATTTATACTATGGGAATCTGGAGACGCCGCCATCATCGCAGCGTTATTTTGTAGCACCAACCAAAGACAAACCGTACCATTTTGATTACCCAAAAATTTTTCATTACAAAGATAAGGAAGATGAGCGAACATTTATTAAGGAAAAATGCGTTGATGCGCTGGACGAAGCACCAAAACATGTACCTAAGATGGTAGATTTTACGCCAGATTTGGGTAAATTATCAAAGAAATGTGCCGATGAAATATGGCAAGAAAAACTCAAAGAATGGAACGTAGCATCTGAAGCGAGTAAGTCCACTGAATTACCACGAGGTGTCACCGATCCCTATCCGGCGGATATGCCGCGCTTACCATTCTATGATTGTGAAGATAAAAAACTAATGGACGATATGTTAAGAATTGCTTTGCATGAAATGAGCAAACATCCAAAATTCGTATTAGCATCTCTGCCAAATGCTCACAAGCTTCCATTGCTACGCGAATGGATATATCAACGTTACGGCAAGCGATACACACATGCACAGCGTGTTGCCGAGTTAAATAATTCAATAAAAATAATGAATACTCTGCTGAAATTAAAATTGCAAGCAATACTGCCGGAACCAACTGCAATCGGAGCAAAGTTTAATCAAAACTATGGTTGTCACAAGTACATTATGAAAAAGGCAAGCATTTTCGATTATTTACAGTTGTTAAAAAAAAATCTCGCTACGGTAATTAGAGTAGAACTTTTTGTTTAGTACTAACAACTAATAAAAGCATAGACAGACGGCAGCATTACTACGGACCAACTCGTTTAATCGGAATTCTCTCAGAAATTAACTGCAGTTTATACCGATAAAGTCCCAGTGTTAATTCTCAAACTTAGTGCAGATCAGTAGCATTTTCGATGACAACACTGACCAAAACGCATTCTACGCATAGAACATGTAAAATTAGCTTGAGCATCTCATCCTCATCAACGGTTATGCATTCACCACATTAATTCAAATGTTATTCCAATTTAAATTGAATAAGAATTTATTTGAAGTAGAATGGTGAATGCACAACCACCCACGAGGTAGATTCCATGCTAGTGTGGCGAATTGACACCACATATAATTGTGTTTTGTATAATTCTTTAATCCAACTTTATTAATTAAACTAAATTTTGATATCAGAAAGGACACGCGTTGAAACAAGAACGGTTAAAGAATGTTCTAGAAGTCGCTTTTTAGAAAATAATGTCTAGCAAAAAGAATACATAAAATAGCGATGAGCCAAATGTGGTGTTACCACATGGGCCGATTAATGCAGGGTCCCCACACTAGTTTTGCATGCATTTTACGTTCTCTAGGCAAACGAAGCAAGCGATTTTGGTGTACGCGGTAGCCGAGTGGTCAAAATTGTGCACTACAACTCAGTAGCACCCAGGTACGGTCGCTAACCTAGCCATTCTTAAAATACATTTTTGGTCATATTTTTAACAGGCTTCAAAAAAGGCGGAGGTTATCAATTCGTCGGAATATTTTTATTTTTTTCTTTGTTACCGCATAACTTTGGATTACCGATTTCCATAATAGTTTTTTTTTAAAGGAAAGGTGGTAGTTCAGAGGTGGTCCCATACTAATTTAGGTTTAGATCCGAAGAATGGATCATGAAGTAATTAACGATACTCTTAAATTTTTATATGAGAAGTGAAGTCCGTTTTTTGTTTTTGCTTATTTTGCTTTGGCGCTCTTCGATGCGCAAACTTTTACTAAAGTGTCAAAATTTACATTACCTAAATATACTTAAGTACTTATGTACCTACATACACTCACGGCAAAAATTATTGGCACAGAATTTTAATTTTTTCCACAAATATTTAATAAAAATATGGTTCATACTACAACAAAAAACATAGAAATATAATTTGTAAGCTTGGTGCTAAACTCAGGAAAATTCAATAAATTGTCATGCAAATTTTCAACTTTTTAAACACATTTTTTTGAGTATGCAGTTTTGTAGAAAATGAAAATCCCGAAATGGGAAGAAAAAGTATTGGTACAAAGCATTTTTTTAGAATTTTTTCCACAAATTTTTTATAAAAATATGGTCCATACAAAAAACTATATCTTTATCTATACTTTGTGCAAAACTCAGGAAAATTCAATAAATTTCCAACTTTTTAATCAGATTTTTTAGAATTTTTTTGAGTATGCAGTTTTGTGCATTAAATTTTAATATAAGCTAATGCAAGTTTGAAGTGTCTTAAAGTCTCGTTTATTTTTGAGTATTTTTTTTTTGTTGAAAGTGTTTTGCATTTTTTCCATCCAAAGGATTTTCAATATTTTTTTTTTATGGTAGAAAACTCGTGCATAAATTGATAAAAATCAACGATAAGTCTTAGCTACTGCAAACTTGCATTTTCCTGAGTTTTTCACAAGGTTTAGAAATTATATTTTTATGTTTGTTTTTGTTTGCTCATATAGCCATATTTTATAAAAAATGATTGGAAAAAAATTAAAATGAAGTTTGGTCACATTGTAAAAATTCTCTGTGCGAATAATTTTTTCTGTTATTCTTCCCATTTCGGGATTTTAATTTTTTTACTATGCCAAAGACATCTAACCTCTTAAATGTTTTTTTTTTTTCACAGGTAAATATAGCCAGAAAACGTTATTATAATCGCGTAAACACAGATCTTATGAGGAAAACGCGCTATTTTTGGTTTGCGATGCGTAGTTTTCTGTGCATGTTACCAGTTCGTGCAACATTCTATGCATATATGCCATCACGAAAAATCGACAACTTTCTCTTTAAACCATGGAGAGTGAGACAATGTATGAATGCTAAAGCAGAATGGGAGAAGCGGCGGTTGAAAAGAAAAATGGAAACGTCAATTTAGGAAACAACTAATAAATACAAATTTATGTTAAAATAAATTTTAATTTGCAAAACAACGGCTATATTTAATTTTTTTTTTTTCTTATATTGCAGCTTTATTTTATTAATTTTTTTTTGAAAGGAGAGGGGTTGCCGAGTCATCCATGCTCGTCCAACACGTTTTGTACCGTCATTTGTTCATAGCTGAGAACAATTACCTAAAGAAAAGTTGCTGTATATGAGAACCCAAAAAGTTGCTGTGTGTAAACTCCGTCTTAATATTTTTCACCTGCTTGTCCAAATTTATTGGGACCTCCCAAAACTGTCTCATATGTGAAGCAATTAACTGCTTAGTTCCCGCTGTCTGGTAGCCTGTAAGCCTAAGCTTTCCGTTCTTCGTTGCACTGAATTTTCCTGCACCTTTCAGATGCTGTTATTCAGGGATTATTGGATCGCCATTTTATTTCTGTTGTTTTTTTCTTTTATTTTAATTTATTCTTACGCTTCTTTTTTATAACTTATCCTTTTACCCTCTTTATTGTAAATAATTTCCACGCTACTGCCGTAATTAACCCAAAAAGATCATACAGAAATGTAAAATTTTTACCAAATTCTACAAAAAAATTGTCAATTTACGTAAAAATATTTTTGAATACAATTTTCGTTTTTAAATTAGGCCCCTCTTATGATTCACAACTTTCAAGATAGTTGAGTTGTAAGTTGTAAATTCGTATTGTGGGACACAACTTAACTCAACTTTGAAAACGTAGTGGTCTGTTTGTTGTCTAGCACTAGCATCCTCGGGCTCATCGGTTAAACATAATTCGTATTTTTTTTTTGCTTTTAATTATTTTAATATCATTAAAACAACATAATATTATGAAAATAACAAAATTTGTATCGATTTTCCGACTTTTAAATGGCTACAGTCAACTGAAAACAGTTGTGAACGGCAATAGCAATAAATAGTTGAGTTGTATACAAGTTGAGATGTCTCGTCTCAGACACAACTCAACTAAGTTGAGTTCAAACTTCGAAGGCCCATATCTCGATTTCCGAGCCTAACTTCGAAAAACGGAAAAATTACCTTTTTACCTATGACTCAATCTCTCAAAAAAAATGGTTTGGTCCAATACCCAGCGGAGTGCTGTACAGTGTAATGATTCCAGTATCTTCATTTGTGTATATTGTAACTATCAATATTTTATAAAGATAAGTGTAAAATTTTTTTATCCAAAACTAATAAAGTTTGAAGGACGAAATTCGAGCATGTGGTAGTTTACATATTAGTCCTTGGCATACATTTTTTTTTTAAATAAATATTGGAAATTTGCAAGGATATTCAAGGATAAAGTTTTAAAAGGACATTTTCAACATTTATTCGTCCTGGTGCAACAAAAACTTAATTTCTTTTTTAATTCTACAGAATTTTTCCTTTTAACTGATACCCAAATTGTTACTCTACAATGCACCAAATCTTTTAAATAATTTTTTTATTCAATCATATCCTGGAAATTTCAAAAAAAAATCCTGACGTCAAAGAGAAAAATTAAAAACGCAGTTATACTATATTTGGCTCCTAGTTTTGTGAATATATTGATTTTTTTGTGTTTTAAAAATTTTTGGTTTTCGTCTCACGGTGTAATGCTTTTTAAATTTCGTTTATTTTTTATGAATAAAGCTTCATTGAGGAACTAAATTACAAAGTTTTTTTGAATTAGACGATGGGAGTTTAAAATTTTGTTTAGATTCAGTTTGTTTTGAGAAGTAATGTTGTAGTAAATTTTTGGTATTGTAATAGCAACACTAATACGGTGTTCACATGAGGCGATTTAAAGGCAATCTTAGTGGCGATCAGTTGAATCAAAATACATACTTAGAATTTTTCTAAGAAATCTGAATAGAAAGTTGCAAATTAGTATGCAAAGTTATTGAATTTTCCTCAGTTTTGCATAGAGTTTAGAGATTTTATTTTTATTTTTTGTTGTTGAATGAAATGCTTTTTTATAAAAAAATTATTGATAATAAATAATAATAAAAAACTTTGCTTATATTGCGAAAAATTCACTGGGCCAAAACTTTTGTCCGGCACTGTATGTATATGTATATATTTTACATGTGGAAAACAAAGTTTTTTCTAGAACTGCTATAAAATCGTTTAAAGTAATTCTTTTTATAAATAAAAGATGACGGTAAAATTTTAATGTTCCAGATTTTTGGAAGGTAACTAATAAGTGAATACTTTTATTCGATCAGAACGATTTTATGGCAATTCTGCGAAAAACGATTCTACGATTTCAAAACAAAAAATACGGGTCTCCTTATTTTATTTTTATTTTTGTATATATTTTACATGTGGAAAACAAATTTTTTCCTAGAACTGCTATAAAATCGTTTAAAGTAATTCTTTTTATAAATAAAAGATGACGATTATCGGTTATGAAAAAGTGGTAAAATTTTAATGTTCAAGATTTTTGGAAGGTAACTAATAAGTGAATAATTTTATTCGATCAGAACGATTTTATGGCAATTCTGCGAAAAACGATTCTACGATTTCAAAACAAAAAATACGGGTCTCCTCATTTTCGATATTGTTCAGTTCGGGGAGTAGCAAAGGGGAAGTTATTAGGGGCTGAGGCTTGGCTATTCCAACTGTTGTTGTTGTTTTTTTAATTAAGAGTGGTTTAATTGGTACATTTGGGCCGTTTGCACCATGTCTCGTTAACGCTAACTGGGGGTAAGTACATCCTTCAGTTAAGCACATCGACTGCTTTATCGATCACATGTTATAAGGTGGGTGTCGATAACGTCGATAACTATGTTTAACTGGGAATTAGAATTAATGGCAAACGGACCTTACAGTATGAAAAGTAAAGATGACTCTCAATCTCTATACTGGGGAACAATTCTTGTTGTCTGAAAACATGTAGTGAAAACATTTTTCATTACTTAACATAAAATTACAATTCTGTTTTCAAATGAAAATAAATTCATTTGTCAAAAAGTTTTCACTGTGTAAATTATTTTTGTGGCTGTGAAAAGGATAAGTAAGGTAAATTTTAACTTTTCATTTTCACTTCACCGTTTTATAGAACAAGAATTGGCCCCCTGTTCTATTCTGCGCAAGTAACAATAATTGTGTAACCCTTTTCTCTTTTTTGATATCTTATTTTTAAATTTTGCGGCTACAAAATATTTGGTAATGTCCAGTATAGGCTAATATTGTGGCAAGTGATTACTTACATTTTATTTATATTTAATGCAATGTATGCCCATTGTCAGGCTGGTGGGTATGAATTTCCATATCAGCAGTTTTGCGTTAAAAAGTCGATTATTTTTTATCCAAGGACGCTTCTTTGATTACACATTTTTACGGCAGCCCATTTAGCTTTTCTTTTAATATTTATCTAGCTTCGAGCCACTTACACTTTCGCATAACTCGTACATTACTTCATTAACTCAATTATTTTGATTTCAAATTTTCATTTATGTAGCACCAAACACTTGTTCTATTATACGAATGATATGGAATTATTTATAATTAATTAAGCATATAAGCCAAATGAATTGCGACAAAGGCAAATTCGCTTGCACATCACTCGGCAAAGATTTTGCATTTATGTACATACATCAAAACCATATTCAGCATTGAGCTATTTACATATTTATTTGATAGAATATTTTCATTTTTACTTAGCATAAATCACTTGCTCTACTATATCGCTGCATTATTAACATAAATAAGATTATGTACAGCCAAGCAAATTTGCATGCACTTCACTTTGAACAGGCATACTTGGCTTCGAGCTTTTCACACACTTATTTTCTATTTTTTCACTTTTCATTTATCACTATGCATTTGTGGGTAGACACCGCGAAAATATATTTTATTTATTAAACACAAGAACACAAATAAACTATAATTTAAGCAAATTTTTGTTACGCTTCACTTTGAACTAATCTCACATTTTCACCAACTGTTGACAACTAGCAAAATGGCGGTAACATTTCCGCTATTCGGTGAGTATTGCCAGATAACCAAGGCAGGAAGTGAGAAAATTTTGAAAATTGAAGCTGCCAGCTTGTTTGCTTTTCTTATTTTATTGTAGGCATTCTCAATGAGTGGGTGAGGCAGTTGGCGTGAAAATTTAACTTGCACATGTCTTTCATTCAAACCTTTAAAAACACAAATAGAAAAATTAGAATTAACAAAAATGTTAACATTATATTTCGAATGAATGTGCTTTGGCTTGGATTAGCCGCGGCGTAAAGTCTGAACGAAGATCTATTAACCCTTAGGTAAGCACTTCATGGAACAACTTCGCTCATTTAGATATAACATGTGAACTGCGTATAAATTTCACTTAAAAATTTTATCTGACAGTGAATTATACAACATTTTAAAAATATCCCACATGATATTTGTCAGTTTTATTTTTAAAACTATTTCCAGACAAGAATTTTTTGTTAGTTTTTCTACAAATTTTTTGCGCTAGTAAAAATTTAAATTCTTTTCCAAATTCCAATCACGATTTGTTTGTTTTGCCAAGTGATAAAATTAAATTTCGTTCAAAATGTTTTCCGGCAATAAGAATGTGAAACCATCCACCAAAGTGGATTCGGAAATGAAGTTTCGCAATAAGCGCATCATCGAAACTTTCGTTAGGAATGCCGACGTGCCGAAGTGGTATCGCGGCTTGTCCTCATTTCAACTTACAGCCGCTTCCCAATTGCAATATGCCATACGTGATGACCTCGAACAGGGTACAACACATCG